ACAATATTCCACGTTATCCTCCGCTATCGGTACCATCTGTCCGCAAACTTTTTCATCAAGTGCGTAACTCACCATTGCAATTTCTGTTTATTTTCTTACGAGTCATTCAATCTAGTATCATCATTAATTGACAAAAGATATGCGATCTCGTTCTGTTATCCATGTAAACACTCGATCGCCCAAAAATAATATCCATCCGACAAAAAATCAGTCTGCCAATCCTCAAGACATTTTGTTCCCAGTTATTATATTCTTAAAATCTTTGATTATTCATATTTTCTCTTTGTGTAAATAGATGTCAACTATGTTAGCTGCGCATTATCATCAAGATAAATTCCAGGTTGCTGTCATTGGAGGGGAGGAGGAAGGAAAGAAGGAATATATGAGAGATGCCTCTCCCCAGAATAAATCTGCCAAACCAATTGTCAGTCAAAATTTTGGTAAATCAGTAAACAATCGAACACGTACCGGCAATGACACCAAAATTAATCTATATTCCCAGTCACCAATACAGGCAAGATAGCAAAATGAGGAGCATGCTCATTATTAGGTTTTATACACCTAAGTATTTATTACTGAAGATCTGGAAATTATTTAGTTTTCTTTCTATGAACACGTTCTTATTTGAAGTATATACATCTTCCTCAAATTTTAGAAACGGTCAAAAGCTCTAGTTTGTTACAAAATTCAATAGAGAGTGTTCAACAATTGTTAAGCCTAATAAGTATGCTTGTGTACAACTAGTATGTTTGACTACATGCTCTGTTAGCTAAACTCTTAATGAAGTAGTTCTCCAAGCTGAGAGAATGATCGTTGTAATAAAAATCTAATGTTTTTCTATAAGTAAACGATTTTTATGTATGCTTTCTGCACTTTTTTCCCTGTGATCAATGGGCAGCATAATTTGAACCCATACACTCGCTAACTTTAAGAAATAGAATTTCTATCTAAGAAACTTAGTGAGAAAGGATAGAATACCAACAGAACTAGGGTAATTTAGAATCTTGTTGCGCAAAAACTGAATTTTGACGTGTTTTCAAGGAAAAATATTTGCCTTTAAGCGTCGTTTCCATAAAACAAGCTGGGAATATATTGGTTTACATAGCGTCTATGTCGAAAAAAAGTATTTCAACAGGAAAGTACTAAATAAGAATTGAAAACGCAAGAAAATACTATCATGTTACATCTTATGTCAACAACCTTTTCCTTAGTTAGTTTCCATATTGTGATTGAACTTTTCCTGCTTCCGTCAAAAATATCTGCCTTAGAAAGCAAGTTAGAGATTGATCAAAAGTCAGATGATAGATTGAAGGAGTTTCGAGAATATATTTTAAAAAGATAACGAATGATCAACAAGTATCTATTGGTAAAAACTAAAGTGACTTAAGGGTATCCCCCCTCTTTTTGACACTTTCTGGTTCTCGAAGACGGTACAACCGATCAAGCTCAAATTTTCAGCACAGATAGAGCACTAAAAATAACGAGATACGTGTTCGAGGAAAAAAAATTGGATTAAGTTTATGTGGAGTTTTCCAGAGGTCTTCATCCTGACACATTACGACCCCCCCTTTAACTTTGTCTGATCGAGCTGAAATTTTCATCACTAATACTTGAGAGTATTCTCCAGAGGTAAAATCGAGCGTTTTCATTCTTGACATTCCTATCAGGAGTTACAGGGGTCTGAAAGTCAAGATCCAAGTGTCGGTCCGAGATCTTGACGTATTTCTCTTATTAAAAAAAAGAAAGTGAGATTTTTGAAAAAGCTTAAATTTACCTCTGAGGAACAGTCTCGAGTATCTATAAAAAAAATTTCAGCTCAATCGGACAAATTTTGAGGGGGGTCGTAATGTGTCAGGATGAAGACCTCTGGAAAACTGGAGTTTTATAGAAAACCCCACATAAACTTAATCCAATTTTTTTTCCTCGAACATGTATCTCGTTATTTTTAGTGCTCTATCTGTGCTGAAAATTTGAGCTTGATTGGTTGTACCGTCTTCGAGAACCAGAAAGTGTCAAAAAAGAGGGGGGGGGGGGGTACCCTTAATCCTGATGATATTTCCATTTCTATTAGTTAAATATAAAATTATTTTTGTCCCAATGGGTCATATTTGTATTTGAGTTATAATTACACATAATTTTATTTGATTCGATGATAACACTGAAACGAAAATGGAACTATTTATTCCTTTTCTTTTGTCTTTATTTATCTTTTAAATTAATTCAGGCAACTGGGTTATTGTCAGATGCAGTGGATTATCGGGATATCCATCGCCAAGCGTCGAACAGAAATAAAAAGAAACGGTAAATAATTGTTTTGCATTTTTTTCTTATTAAGTTTTAAAAATCGTTCATTAGCTACTTTAGACACATTCGTTGCCAATATTCACCTGTCTGTTTAATTCTCTCTCTATTTGCTCTTCTACTTCTTGGCGCAGGCATTTCTGTAATGCTTGTTGCCTTGATCGGCATCTCTACGACGATAATAGCAACAACAACAGTGACGACAATAACGGCAACAACAGTGACGACTACAACGGAAACGACGACAACAACAAGTAAGACAATATTTGCGTTTTTGTTCGGATATGTACATGAATATTCATAGAACTAGATTCGTAAAAGACATTGCAGCGATCTATATGAGATATATCTATAACTGAGATAGGTCCAAAAGGGAAGCAACGATCTTGAATGATTTTGGTGGCTCAATGTTGATTTTCCACAGATTTAAATCAGCTGCTTCCTCGTTGAAAGATTGATGAACAACTCTTCAGAAACTGAAGCTGATATTCAGTCAAGATATTTGACAGTTTGGCCATAGAACACGCTGTCGATTTTCTTCTCATTTCTTTCTTCATTGATTTCTTCATTCTTGCTCAGTTTTCGTGAGGCAGCAGATTGGCCACTATAGATTTTAAAAAAGACAGAATAAGGAATTTATCGTTTTTGGACTATTTAAAGGATGAAAAATCATTCAGTATCTATTTGGATGAACGCAATGGTAATACCACTATTGTCTGGTTCAGATAACGAATGAATGAGCGAGTGATTGTAGATGGAAAGAAGAACGGTTGTTTTGGAGCTAATGTCATTTGATTGAGCCATTGTCGCAGTGCTTCATCGATGTACCTACTGTCGAGTGAAGTACATCATCAATTATCTGTTACGTAAATGTACGTACCATTCCAACTAAAGTTCTTTTCAAGAGAGTTTTCTGATCATGATTTATCGAGAGCATGTTGTCAATCATCCTACTAATTGTGCCCACGGAAAATCTTTCGAGTTCGGCTGATTAGAGACTCATATCGTTTGATAATCTGATCGAATCTGAGATAAGATTCAGTTTAGTTCCAATGGTAAAAGATTGAAAGCACCATCGCGAAACCAGAGGAAGATTAATTAGAAACAGAGATGCGACGAATTAGTCAGGATTGTAGTGTGGTAGTTTTCTCATGGAAACTGTATAAACTCTAAGAAAAAGTATTTAGTTTCGCAGGAGATAAAAGAAAATTTTTGAAGACTGGGCATTATGTTGTTTGCTCACGTAGTCTCTGTAATAGTTGGGGTAAAGTTTTGAAACTAAACAATACTCAGGTAAGGCAATTGTTTTCCATAATTATATTGGTGCTTACTAATAACAATTTTCGTTTCGTAATAGCTCCATGCAATAGATTTCCGACACAAGTGACCTATTCAACTGGCACTTTCCCGATTTCTGTGGCAGCAGCCGATGTCAATGGTGACAGTAAATCCGATATTATTGTCGCAAACGAGGATTCAAACAACGTCGGTGTTCTTCTCAACAATGGCAATGGCACGTTTGCTGCTCAAGTGACTTATTCAACTGGCACTAAACCGTTTTCTGTGGCAGTAGCCGATGTCAATGGAGACAGCAAACTCGATATTATTGTCGCAAACCGCGATTCAAACAACGTTGGTGTTCTCCTCAACAATGGCAATGGCACGTTTGCTGCTCAAGTAACCTATTCAACTGGCAATAACCCGTATTCTGTGGCAGCAGCTGATGTCAATGGAGACAACAAATCCGATATTATTGTCGCAAACCTGTTTTCAAACAACGTCGATGTTCTTCTCAACAATGGCAATGGCACGTTTGCTGCTCAAGTGGCCTATTCAACTGGTAGTTGGCCGCGTTCTATGGCAGCAGCCGATGTCAATGGAGACAGCAAACTCGATATTATTGTCGCAAACTACGCTTCGAACAACGTCGGTGTTCTCCTCAACAACGGCAATGGCACGTTTGCTGCTCAAGTAACCTATTCAACTGGCAATAATCCGTATTCTGTGGCAGCAGCTGATGTCAATGGAGACAGCAAACCTGATATTATTGTCGCAAACTACGGTTCAAACAACGTCGGTGTTCTCCTCAACAATGGCAATGGCACGTTTGCTGCTCAAGTGACCTATTCAACTGGCACTGGCCCGATTTCTGTGGCAGCAGCCGATGTCAATGGAGACAGCAAAATCGATCTTATTGTCGCAAACTACGTTTCAAACAACGTCGGTGTTCTCTTAGCTGTTTGCAACTGACACACAAATTGAAGTAGTGGATTTAGAATTTTACTAAAATCTGTTTATGTCCTTTAACAAAATCAGACTGTCATTGTGTCATTTAATTAATAAGTTTCTTGACTATTCTTATAGAAATAAATAGGGAGGGGGGGGGGTGTGTGTGGATGTAGATATGGATTAAGAAAAGAAAAACACCCACACCCACACCCAACCAATATTTAGTTGAAAGATGATTTTTTAGCCATTCGATTAATTCACTTTTCAGTTATACGTGGTTGAAGATGAATAGCATCTGCTACATGAATTGTCATTGATCGACGATTTTTTATTGAATTGAGAATATCTAAAATACTCTCTGGAGATCTAATTCGAATTTCCAGAACTTCACATTGAAGTACAAGTGGTGTTGTAAGAAATTCAGTACATTGTAGATGATCAAAGTCAAAATGGAGATGTCTGGAATAAGGATTTATTCTAAGTCGACGAATCGATGGACTGGTTATTTGAAATAATTGTTTTATATTTGGAAAAAAAGTCGTTCTAAAGAAAATACTTAAGCTATAGAGACGCGGCGATCGATCGAGTATAGATTGCAATTTTGACTGACAATCTTCGGCAAGAATATTTAGATTTAATGAAGTTAAATGATCGAATGTTGGAATGATAGACCAAATAGTCTCAGATATAGGAAGATATGTTTCAAGTTTATCAATGTTGGAAAAACAAGATGAATACAAGTATGAATAATTACCTTTGAAGTTTCTACAGTCGAATGTATGGGTACAATTGAATGACCAACAGTTATTATTCTCAGAACAAGCCCATTTAGATCTTTTGATACCCTCTGATGTATAAGTGTACAAATTAAAGGCATATGGTAATGTGTAAAGATGTCTGTAAGCTCTTGTAAATCTTGATTTTTCTTCCCAATCACATTTGACATACCATTGATGTTCATTAAGCCAAAATGGAGTTCGAAATGTATTGAGTAATTGATCAATTTGTTGTTCTGTGTTGTCAATCCAATTCAAACTTACAAACATTTGAAATCGAAATACTTTCAATTTTGGAATATTATCCAGAATAATCTTTTCCCATTGATCTCCATTTAATTCTTTCGATGCCATGTCGATTGTTAAACGAACCAAACAAGACATGTTTTGAAATAGATTATTTAATAGATTTATTCCACCCGAGAACCTCACATTTAATGTAGTTAGTGATGTTTTTATAATTCGAAGATTTTCATATTCATTGATTAATTGAATATATGCTGAAAGAACTTGAAGATTAGTTGTATAGGAGAAAAGATAAACTAACTCATTAGATTCTATTTGACACATAGCAGAACAAATAGATAAATGTTCAACAGTTGTTGAAATAAATGTATTTTTATCGAAATAACTTCCCGAAGGATAACAACAATCTAATCTACAATGTCAAAGTTTTGGTAGACTCCAGATTTGATTGATAATTGATGGTTCATTTTTTATTTTAAACGATATATCACAATGACTCACATTGAGATCAACCAGACAAGTGAGATAATTAATTTATTATTGGAATAGATTTCACATAATGTTAAAGATCTTAAATTAATCATTTGATTGATATTAAAACCACGAGAGAGAAAGAGTTTGACTAAACCTGGAGTTTCATCTTTATCGGATAGATTAAATGAAACTATTCGATCGATAATTGAACGGAGATGTTTTTCACAAGGATTGTCGAAATCTTCCTTTGATATGTGTTGAAAATCAAGATGATAGGATCGAAATTGTTCACTAAGTAATTGATTGAAACGAGAGTTTAGACTAACGAAGGCACGAAGTAGATGAACAGTATCCAAATATTCGAATAAACCGATTAATAATTTATTGGTTAACGATTCAAACTGCATCATTCTTCTTTTATGTTTCGACAATTTTTCTCTTTTTAATAAAAAAAACCCTTCTCTTCTTCTTCTCTTTTTCACACGTGTTTTTTTTCTTTCTATATGACGACGAGAAGTAACTTGAATAAATATTTTCATATATCATTATGAATAATTATTCAACAATGCAGATAAAGAGAGAAAAAACCAGCTTATATACGATCTTTTACTACTAAATCATTCTCGTTGATTTCTGACGAAATAACAACAGAAGTTCACAAAACATATTTTGTGAGAAAATAATTTCAATAAGATAATTAACTTTAAGAGATTGAAACGACAAAAACGTTCAATTATATGTAAAGAGACTATTGAGTGAGATCGTCTAAAACGAACTATCCAAATAATGGTCGTGTGCTTTGAAACTTCTACAACAATGAGAAGTTAATAAGCCTCTATCGAATGCAGAATCTCAAGTCTTTTCTATTGGCCAAGATTGAGATATAGGATCAACACGAAGGATTTCTTCCAATCATGTTATCTCGAGTTAGGAAATAAGTTCACTGTCATTCGACTTGCTGATCGAAAGACTGATCAGCAGTAATGAATCGATACGTTATAGCTTTTTCCAGGAAACTGATTTGCCTTTCCAACTGGTCAAAGAAAATCTATCATAGCCATAATGGCCATTGTGCCTAGTATGTCCACTAAGGAAACTGATTTCAGTTTCCGGAAATTAGTTGATGTCCAAAAACCTTTTGAGTTTCCTGGAAATCGATATAACGCATCATATGGGTTCTGGTGGATTCCAGAACGGTAACGAAGAGTTAACTAATGAACTACAATCAGTTTTGACAGCATCAGTCTATAACAAACAATTTGGAAAAGCCCTTTGAGTATGGTCTTAAGGAAAACTCAGATATTTTCGTGACCGTGACTAAAGACTGTGGTCATGCAGGTCTCTCTGTGCTACTTACACGTAGCCGTGGCAAAAAATTTGAGAAAAAGATATTTTTCATTCTGTTTTCGGTACTCTTGATCAGTTACCTCAACTACAAAGAATGATTTGAATAGGCCAGGAAATGCTCTATTCAATGCTGACTGTGACAACGTTTCATGGACTATGCAAACCATTATTTGAAAATGACTTGGCTGCTCAATAGTATCGGAAAGAAAATAAAAATATCTTATTCTCAAACGTTTTGCCACTACTATATGTGAACTGCATGGAGTTTCTGGACAACCTGATAAATTGAAACTATAGGTATACCTTTACAGAATGTCTTTCTTTAATAATAACGATAGATGTTTTGTGCATATAAATATATCGATTCTTGTTACTCTATTTGTACTAGAACTAACGAGCTGATTAAAACGATAAAAATCCAAATCTTAGCAAAATGAGATCACAGGCATAACACACATTTTAGTAAGAAATCGAAGTAGAGATGATAGAAACCTTTCCAAACAAGTGCAGATTGCGACAAATGTCTAGCTTATATTTCTACAGTGTTAGTGACT